TTTGCAGTTTTCTCTCCTTGGCAGTCTCTCAGCATACCCCTGAGCTGCCTCCTCCCTGTCTCCTCTGTCCTCCCCTTCCGCCCCGTCCTCCTGGCTCCTCTAAGAGCTGAGGATCCGCTGAGCTCAGCTCTTCCTGCAGCTCTGCGCTCCGGGCTCGCAGCCTTTGTCCCGCTTCCACCGCAGGCACCCAGCGGGTCAGGGGCAGGGGCTGGGGGTCAGCCTGGGGGGAGGGGGCTCTCCAGCCGCCCGCACGTCCCTGGCCTCCGCGTGCGCGTTTCTCCCCGGGTGGGGGACAGCTTCCCACATCACACCCGCTCCTGCTCAATTGTGAACAGAGGAAGCTCAGCAACTTTGCTGCCTGTGCCAGATCCTGCCTCTGAAAAGCTCCGGGCCCTTTCTCCTCGCTCTGGCGCCCGCTCTACCCGCCGTTCAGCCTCTGGATTGCCAAGTGGCAAATAGGCCCGGCTCTGTTCTGGGAGATTCCGGGGGCCTTTCTGAGTGGGGCTGTCCAGCCGGCCCTCCCTCCTGGCAGAACCTTGAGAAGGGATGGAAGGAAGACTGGAGGGGTGGGGCCTGGAGTGAGATGCCCTCCAAGTACCCTGGACAGAAATGACACTAGATATTTGGGCAGCAAACTTTTACTGACAGAAACAGGCAGCTGGCCCGTGGGCCACAATTTGCTAATTTGATTTTTAAAATACTGCACTAAGTTGTAATTTATGTTGATTACTGAGGTTCTTCCTTGCCTCCTTAAATTCTGTACTGAGGGTGAATGCCTCACCCTAGTCCTGGCTCTGGTCCACAGCCTCTAGGGCCTGTATTTTACTTGGAAGACCCTAAAGGCCACATGCAGTGGCTCATGCCTGTAATCCGAGCACTTTGTGAGGCCAAGGCAGCAGGATCACCTAAGCGCAAGAGTTTGAGACAAACCAGGGCAACATAGTGAGACCCCGTCTCTGCAAAAACGTTTGAAAAAGGAAGACCTTAGAGAACCTTGACCCCCCTCCCATGTCCCCAGGGAGGAAAAGGACTGTTAGGTGGTACCCATCCTTGCCACGCTACTTGTTCCTTCTGCTTATCTGGGGCCAAGTGGGCCACTGTCGCTTTGAGGGCAGCCCACAGAAGTGACCTCACCAAGGGTGGGGTCGGGAGAAGAGGCTGCTGGAGGGCTGGGCAATGGAGTTCTTAGAAAGTTGAAAGCAGGAACAGACCTTCTAGATAACCTAGAAGGAAGCAGTGGCTCATAAACCACAAGAGAGTCAGGGCAGAGGCTTGGCAAGGACCCTGGTCTCTTGTTTCCCAGCCCTCTTGTCTCCTATTTGTGGGGCATCAGTTTGAATTTGCCACTAGGCAGGGTGTGGTGAAGAGTGAACCCAGGATGACTGAGACAGTGTCTGCCACCGCCAAACTGTGAGCACTCAAAGGCAGGGCAAGCCTGATGCCCAGCCCTGCACATATGTGAGCAGACATGCGGGACTTCTTCTAGAGAGCCCCCTGGCTCTGATGGAGGTGGTGTGGGATGAAGTTTATTTAGCGATTTTAGGATTAAGAGTTTTCAGCTGGGCCTGGTAGCGCACACCTATAATCCCACTTTGGGAGGCCGAGGTGGGAGAATCGCTTGAGCTCAGGAGTTCGAGACAGACCTGGGCAACATGGCAAAACATCTCTATAAAAAATAGAAAAATTAGATGGGCATGGTGGTGCATGCCTGTAGTCCCAGCTACTTGGGAGGCTGAGGTGGGAGGGTCACCTGAGCCCAGGAGGCTGAGGCTGCAGTGAACCATGATTGCGCCACTGGATTCCATCCTGGAGCAACAAAGTGAGACCCTGCCTCAAAACCATACATAAATACATACATGCATACATACATACATACATAGAGTTTTCTGACAGAAAGCAGCTTGAGGAGTGGAAGGGCATTCAGTCAGCCACATCAGGAATTGATGCCCAACTTCGCTGTATTTACTGTGTGTGTGGCTTAACCACTTCAAGTCTCAACCTTCCTTGCTGGAGAATGGGGATTTAAATCCTCAGGTCATAGCATCAGTTAAACGAGGTAACCTGTGGAGGTGCCTGACCCAGCGCTAGCACATGGAGAGCATCCCTGATATCTTAGCTTTCCTTTGCTTCCATTTCCATTTATTCATTCATTCAGTCCAACACTCTCTCCCTCGTCCAGGTAAGTTGCTTTGGGAATTGGTGACTCAACCAGGGTCCATGCCCCCTGTCTCCCAGCCAGTGTCAGTTTCTCTGGGTGACACTGCTCAGGCATGCTCACCTGCACCCTGGCAAAGTAGTCTGGTGCTAAGAGCTGACCAGCATTGGGCGGATATCTCTTTCTGACCACAAAGACCCTCACCTCAGGATGTGTTGGGTCAAAAAAGGGTCCCAGGGTGAATGCCCAACTGACCCCGCAACTCCTGGACCCTAAAACCCTGGGTCTCCTCCTCTATATCCTCCCCGCCAGACTGTTCTGCCCACTCTCTTGATCCTGGCAGGCAGCCTCCCCAGGGGGTCAGGGGGCTGATTGCTGAAGCAGAAGCTGCCCCTCCATTGAAGGGCTCTGACAAGCAGGGCTGTTGCTCCCCCTCCCCTGCTCCACTGTCTCCAGGGATGATGATTCGATTTTCTCCAATCGCCAGCATTGCCATCTGCCTACAGTAATTAAATGGTATTTGAACTGAATCCAGAAATCCCACTTCAGGCAGCCACGTGGTAGGGAAGCTGTCTTCAGGAGCTGGTGCTAGCCAGCAGAGCTGGAGGGTCCTCAGAGGCTGCCTAGGCCAGGCCCTTGGTTTACCTAGGAATACCTGGATGCCCTGAGAGGAAGTGCTTCATCTTGGGCCCCACAAGCCCACAGGCAGAGCCAGGTCTGAGAGCCAGATTCCTGTTTAGTACCTGTGTACAATGCCATGCTCCTCCTTCTAAGGTTGCTCCTGCTCTCTCTCCCTGCACATGTGAGATGTTCTTTCCCCCTGGCACTCTGAACCCTGGTCCTTAGAGACAGTGTAGCATAAGACACTGAAAGGGCAGTGCATGCAGACTGCATAGGTTCAAGCCCTTGATCTGCTCCTGTCTGTGACCTGTGACTCTGGCTGTGTGCCATCTCAGCTTCCTCATCCGTACATGAGGGTCATAATCCTCACCTCCTAGTGTTGTGAGGACCAAGAGTTAATCTATGGCAGTGTTTAGATGCTGCCTGGCATAGAGTGAGTGCTCAGTGTATGTCCACTGCCATTATTAGCAGTAGAGGTAGAAGTAGAGGTGGGAGCCTTGCTGACCCTGAGCTCTTACTGGAGACTGGAGTTTCCGGTCTGGAGGTCCAGACGGATGAGCAAGAATCAGCCATTCTCTTCCCAGGCAGAAAAGCCAATTCAATTGGGAGATGAAGAAGCTGGGCTCCCATTCCAATTTGGGTGAGACAGCTAGATAAATGTGGTGACCTCCTTTGGGCTTCCATCCCTTTTAGAGGAGAGCCATTGACCTATGAGGACCTGTTCACACCTTGGAAACACTTCTGAAGAAGGCCCAGACTCCCATCTGTGGGTATGAACCGGGCCTGGTGTTGCTTACCCCCGATGCCTCCCTGCTGGGCTTTCCCCACCTCCCCAGTCCCCTTTAACTCCCTTGCTGTGGAAGTGCAGGCAACAGGCTCAGGTGAGCACCTTCCCCAGCCTACAGCTCTGAGTGGGCCTTGGGAGCTGGGGTAGCTGGGGACAGACAGGATGGCGACTTGCAGGCCCTAGACTCTGTGGCTAGGCGCCTCTGGGCCCAGGATGGGTGCTGGCTTGGCCCCTGGCATTGTTTCTTCTCTTGGTGAGTGTTGGCTTAGGGAGAGGAGGCCTGACAAGTAGCTCATTGTGAGTGCCTGCTGATGGACTGGCTTGTGTGAGCCCATGGGCATGAGAGCCTAACCCCCAGCCCCTTTTACTTTAGGGAGTTGGGGTGGGGGTGGTGCTTTCTGCCAATCCCTGTGCACGCATGCTTGCTGACTCCTGCTTGGTTGCCATGGGAACCTTGTCGTGGTGATGGCTGCTTGGGAGAGAGAGGAAGGGGTGGCTGGATGGAGACAGTTGTGTCAATGGCTGCCTCCTCACTCAGTCCTGATGCTACTTTTCTTCCTCTTTACAGGGAAGCCTGCCAGAATCTGGGTTGGGAGCACACCCCAGGCTAGCCTGGTATCCTTTTTAGAGGTCCCTGCCCTTCACAAGGGAACCTGGGACTTGACCTGGTCAGCCCCAGCTCTGCAGGTCTGGCCCCTCCACTCCTGGAAAGGAAGCAGAGCTCAGGCCTGAGAATGTCTACCAGGCTCTGGCATCTGGGAAGGGTGCTCCTGGTCTGGCGTCAGGGAGGGGAGCTCCTGGCCTCCTGCTTGCAGCCCCGATAGGCATTGGCAGAGGCTCTGGCCTCCTCTAGAACTTAGTCCTGGCTCTGGGAATGTGGCCCAGAGCTGTGGGAGCATCCAGTTCCTTCTCTTCCCCACCCTGGCCCTGTGCTTTGCCTCCCCAGCAGTGGACAAGCTGCCTTCTCTCCCCTGACGAGATGCTAATTTCTAGGGCTTCCGGTCCAATCAGGAGTACGTGCTTTTATGTCACACAGACCTGGACATGGCGCCATCACTTTCTGTTGTACACCCTTGGGCAGGGTCATTTAAACTCTTTCAGCTTCAGTTTTCTCATCTGTAAAATTAGGCAAATAATAGGTACCTCACAAGTTTATAGTGAAGAGTACGTGAATTAATTTATGGAAAGTACTTTGAACACAGATCTGATATATACTGAATGCTCAATAAATGTTAACAACTGCTGTTTTGATGATGTTGATATTGTTATTACTATCGTATTACAAAAGTTGCCCATTTCCTCTGGGGGCACCTAAGCTTCCTTCCTTTTCCTCTGGCTCATAGGGGAAGTGGCAGTTTGGCAGGCAGTGTGAGGGAGGGGCCTGTGGCAGCCCCCTTCTGGCTGGGCCTGACCCAGGGCTCTCTCCATCCCGGGCAGGATCCGGCCCCAGCTGTCAAAGGAGAAGATTGAGGGCTGTCACATCTGTACCTCTGTTACCCCGGGAGAGCCCCAGGTCCTGCTGGGGAAGGACAAGGCCTTCACCTATGACTTTGTCTTCGACCTGGACACCTGGCAAGAACAGATCTATTCCACCTGTGTGAGCAAGCTCATCGAGGGCTGCTTCGAGGGCTATAATGCCACGGTGCTGGCCTATGGGCAGGTAAGCCATCTTCACGCCCACCTATGGCCGCTCCAGCCTCGGTCTCCCTGCATCCAATGGAGAGAAAGCTCCACCTTCAGAGCAGCTGAGACACAGCCTCAGGTTTTGTCTATTGTCTAAGGAGGCCGCTGCACCGCTGGTTAGCAGAGGGAGGGCTGTCAGTCAGTGATTTCCCCAGAGTGTGGCTTCAGGACCAAGAAAGCAGCAGGGGAACCAGGCTGGGAGGTAGATGAGCTAAGGGGATTTGGCCCAGGTACAGGGCTTGCTGGTGTCCCCAAAGGGTGCGGGGTTACACCCTCCTATCTTTGCCAATGCAGACAGGGGCTGGGAAGACGTACACCATGGGCACTGGCTTTGACATGGCAACGTCGGAGGAGGAGCAGGGCATCATTCCGAGGGCCATCGCACACCTCTTTGGGGGCATTGCGGAGCGCAAGCGTCGGGCACAGGAGCAGGGCATGGCTGGACCTGAGTTCAAAGTCAGCGCCCAGTTTCTGGAGGTACTGTGGCCCCATAGGGCGGGCAGGTGGGAGGCTTGGTGGACGACAGGGCCATGGAAGCCGGGCCTTCCTCCAGTGCAGTGGAATGAGCCCAGGGAACCATGGGGGCATCTCCGGGTGATAAGTTCCTGCTACTGAAAGAATCCAAGCATGGGCTGGAGGACTACTCAGTGGGACACTCAAAACGGGTTCCTGCATCAGATAGAGCTTGAGTCGATGACCTGTATGATCCCTTCACACCCTGACAGGTTCTAGCTCTGACACTGATTAGCCTTGTGACCTTGGGCTAGTCATTTACCACACTGAGCCTCATCTGCAAAATGGGGTGATACCTGTTTCCTTAGGGTTTTGTGAGAACCCTGGCTCTCTCGCTTCCTTCTGGCCTTCTCTGGGTTCCCCCTCTGCCTCAGGGCAGCCTGTCCTGCCCCTTTGTGGCTCAGATGTTTCCTGGCCCGCTGAGTTTTCTCTTACCCCAGGGCAGAAAGGTCCTCCAGGAAAGGTCTTTCTGTGCACCTGGCCTTTCCTGTCTCTGGGAGAATGTCAGGCTCAGACTGTGGCAGCCAGGGAGGGACTTTCAGTGGGGAGCAGGGGGTCTCTGTGCTCTTGACCATTGGGCCTGTGCTGAGCCCCCACTCAGTAAGGGCGCTTATCCCATAAACCCTGCTGCTCTGATTGTCCAGGTCACCTTCTGAGGGACGCATGTGGCCTTGGCCCTCTCCAGGCCTTCCCCAACGCCAGCCCCTGCCTACCACAACACAGCTGCTCCCTCCTTGTCCTCTAGGGTATCCTGCATTTTAGAATTCGGAGGTTTTCTTTGCCACTCTGGACTTTTGCTTCTGATAAATGGACTGCCTATCTGTGTGTGACTGTGTGTTCGTATCTGTGTGTGTGACATCTGTCTGTATGTGTGTGTGACATCTGTATGTGTGGTCTGTGTTCTGTGATTTTAGGTGATTTTTTGTGTGTCATCTGTGTGTGTTGTTCGTGTCTATCTGCCGCTGGTGCACATCTTTTGATGTTATGCTTTGGTTCTGATGTGTGTGTGGCTGGTGTGCACTGTGTTTTTGTGTGTTTGTCTGTGTATTGCGTTTTTGTCTGTGGTGTCCTCTGTGCAATGTGCATCTGTGTCTTGTGTGTGCCTGTGTGTGTGTCGATTGCTACTATGGTGTGGTGCGTCTGTGTCTAGTGTTCTCTGTGTTGGTGTGTGCTGTCTGTTGCGTGTGTGTGTCTGTGTGTGGGTATGTGTGTCATGTGGTGGGTCTGTGTTACCTGTGTGTAATGGTATGTCCTCTGCGTTGTCTATGTGTACTGTGTGTGTCTCGTGTGTACGTGTGTGTGGTGTGGTGTGGTCTGTGTGTGGAGATATGTTTGTTGTGTGTGTGTGTGTCATGTGTAGTTGTCTCGTGTCCTGTGTGTTTGTGTTGTCCTCTGTTGCTGTGTGTGTGTGATGGTGTGTGTGTGTCTGTGTGTGGGTAATGGTGTGTCTGTGGGGTG